GATGCCTAAACAGCTGAACAAAATGCTTGTGTTTTGTATAGCTAATTGCTACAAGTCAAGATTACAGTATCTCAATGCAGAAAATTTATAGATAACTCAACTTTATAACCTTATTTTTTGGCTTTTGGTTTTTGGCTCTTATGTTACCTAAAAGGGGTTTTAAAGATTACTGAATACCTGCTCACCTCCACTCCTATCTAGCCTAAAACGTTTAATTGGATGTAAGTCTTTGACTCTAAGTTCCTTGGCAATAGGGGTCCCACCGAGAAGCATGATGGACCAGGGGCAAGTAGTCACACCACCCCAGAACTTAAGCTAATAAAAGCTTAGCTATGGATACTGCCTCTGCATACCTTGAACAAAAAAGGGGGAATATAAACTAAAAAAAAAAAAAATCCTAAGACCCCCCCCAACAGAGGGAATGTATCCACCTCTTGGCCAAAGGGAATCTCAAAGAAACCTGAAAAACTAGTTCAGGCCATTATCAGAAGTGGAGGGTTGGACACGCCACACTATACCTTCCCCCACTTTGGAGTTTAGGCACAAATGAACAGCATTAACATTAAAATAGAGATCACCTAAGACTGACAGACTCTGTAGCAATAAGATACACACTGTTACTTGTTTCACTTACTAACAGAGACTCTCAGAAGCTCAGCAAACAAGTGTTAATGCTGCCAAACTTTCCCAAATTCATTTTATTCTGGAGTTTCCTGTATGATATCTCTTATGTTAAATAAGTAAGAATTTGGACTGAACTGTTATTCCCTTATAGTTACAGTCTTCTGTTATCTCTTCATATAGGTCCTCATATTTCTTGTCAGGAATATTGCCAGATCTTTTATGGTTTGGGTTGGAGTTGTGGGTGGGATCATTTAAAAACCCTATTTTTCTAACTGGTTATTGCTGGCATTTGTTTTTTAAAATAAACATTTATTTCATTATTGTATCCAACCATTTTCTAGTTCTTTATGAATATGCTAATCTTTATAGTAATTGTATCACTTCCTCTCTAATAGCTATAACTCTTACTTCTATTGCTTAATTGGAACTTTCAAAACTATATTGCATTTTAATAATGGCAGCAGGCAGCTTTGGTATTTTTTTCCCCAAGAATGGAAATGCCCCTACTATTTCATTGTTAAGTATTACGCTAGTTTGAGATAAATAGAAGTATTCTTTTCCTTGTTTTGAAATAAGAAAAACAAATGGAATTTTATTTTAAAAATTTTAGCATTTACTGAGGTGATTTTAAAAAAATATATTGGATCTATTAATACATTACCCACTAGCTAAAGGCATTTGGGCATAAAAACCAGCCTATAAAAGACTCAACAGAGAAATCCAGGATGAAGATGCAACCTTGTGTGCTGTCAGTAAGTCTCCTTTTTTTTTTTTTGGATGGAGTCTCGTTCTTGTCATCCAGGCTGGAGTGCAATGGTGCAACCTTCGCTCACTGCAACCTCCAACTCCCAGTTCAAGCGATTCTCCTGCCTCAGCCTCCAGAGTAGCTGGGATTACAGGCACCCACCACCACACCAGGCTAATTTTTCTTTTGTTATTTTTAGTAGAGACACAGTTTCACCAAGTTGGCCCGGCTGGTCTCGAACTCCTGACCTCAGGTGATCCGCCTGCCTCGGCCTCCCAAAGTGCTGGGATTACAGGTGTGAGCTGCCGTGCCCAGCCTCCATTTTTCAATCTATAAAATGGAGGTAATGATACTATTTTCTTTTTTTTTTTTTTTTTTTTTTTTTTTTTTTGAGACGGAGTTTTTTTCTGTAGCCCGGGCTGGAGTGCAGTGGCTGGATCTCAGCTCACTGCAAGCTCCGCCTCCCGGGTTTACGCCATTCTCCTGCCTCAGCCTCCGGAGTAGCTGGGACTACAGGCGCCCGCCACCTCGCCCGGCTAGTTTTTTGTATTTTTAGTAGAGACGGGGTTTCACCGTGTTAGCCAGGATGGTCTCGATCTCCTGACCTCGTGATCCACCCGTCTCGGCCTCCCTAAGTGCTGGGATTACAGGCTTGAGCCACCGCGCCCGGCCAATGATACTATTTTCAAAGGGTAGTTGTGAGGTTTCAATTTTTTTAAAACACGTACTTAAAGCTCTACACAAATACTAATTCTTCTCACTTAAAAAAAAAAAAGTCACCTGAACATTTTTTTACCATTTTCTTATTACTAAACTTTGTTGTAAAATTCAAATTAAAACATAAAGCCAAATTTTCTACATATAGTTTCCTATGAACCCTAAAAGGCTTCAAGAAGTGACTGAGAATATAAAGCTCTTTAGAGTTTTACCTAAAAATTAATCCAGTGACAAGCAAGATCAAACAATAAGCAGATGAGAAAGTAGAAATAAAAACTACTCTTTCGAAGGCTTTTGCTATAAATAGGGCAGGGACAGGGGATGCTAGCTGAAAGGAAAAAGTGGGACCAAAAGAAGCCTATCATTTGTTGTTTAGATAAAATAAATTCAGCATGTTGGTCTGCTGTTGGGAATGATCCAGTAGAGCAGGGAAAACAGTGTAGGGAAGAGAGGGCCATCACTAGAGTGATATCCTTGGGTAGGTAAGAGTAGGTAGGATCTACTGCACAAAGGGAGGAGATAACCTGAGACAAGAATAAGGACAGACAATTCATAAAACAGGAGGGAAGAGGATGTGCAAGGGTGCAGGTAGATGGGTAGCTCTGTTGGTAGAAACATGCAGAAGTCCTCTTCTGATAGCTTCTCTTTTTTCTTTGAAAGAGGAGGGTAAGCTCATTACGTAAGAGTGTGATTGAGTAGAGAGGTGGTAGAGGTTTGAGAAGAAAGCAGAAAGGGTGAAAAAATTATCTGAACAGTGAATGTACCCATATTTGTCGCATATGCACCTTTTTCCGATAATAAATTCATTTTAAAACACCTTTAATATTGCCCCACTGCCTTCAGGATAAATGTAAATTCATTAGCATCATGCAGTCTTCTTGATTCATCTCCTTCGTAAACTTTAATCTCATCTTTTACCGCATTCTCATTATGACCTATGTTCCACTTTTATTAATTACTTAGCATATTCCCCAAATGGCTTTATGTTTAATGCTCCTGTGGCAGACTGTATTTTCCAAAGATGACTGCAATAACGTATCCCATCCCATGTGCTGCTCTGTAATGTGACCTTAAAGCAGTCTACCTCTCCAGTCCCTTGAATCTGTGACTATTATGACCAATATAATACAGTGGATATATACCTGTGCCAGTTCTGGGAGTAGCCCTTGATTGGCCTGGCAGTCTCTACTTATGTCTTTTGGAATGCTTGCTCTTGGGATACATCCTAACCTAACCACCATGCTGTGGAAGAAAACGGTACAAGAGGCATTTCTGACAGGCAGTCCTAGCTGGGCTTCCAGTCAAAACCAGTGTCAGATGTTAGCCAAGTGAATGAGTCATCACAGAATAACCAGTTCACTTGAATCTTCAGTATACCTGACTGCAACCGAACAAGAGATCCCAGTCAAGAACCATCAGGTGAACCAACCCAGTTAATCCACAGAATTATAAGAGAAAGTTTGTTGCTTTAAGCTCCTAAATTATAGGGTGGTTTGCTACGTAGCAACAGACAAGCAGAACTGTTTTGAGTGTGATGTGGTAATAGCAGTTGTATTATCATTTACTGAAGGCATGGCAAATACATGATCTAGGATCAAGTCATGGCTCAGCCACTCCCTGGCTATATGACCTTAGAAGTTATTTGAATTCCTGAATTTCATTCTTCCATAAATGGGAATAATAGTAACTACCTCACCTGACACAGTCCCTGGCTGTAAAGGAGTAAATGTTTCTGCCGTTTACCTTAGGCCTTACTTTTGGCCCATGGAGGAAAGAACTTTCTCTATCATTCTGACCTTTTCTCTTTATACCCACATACTAGCTCCTTCTTTTGAGAACTGGTACAACTTGTTGAGCCACATTTTACTAGTGGGTATAGTTACTGCATGTGTACCTGTAAGCATGCCTTCTGTTTTTTCCTGTAACTGGGTACATGAAGAAGTTCCAGCTACCCTGCCAATGCAAGTATTTGATAAGTACACTTAAAGCCTGCCCCCAGAGACTCAATTATATCTAAGATATAGATATGGAGATAGAGGAAGCTACTTCAGCCTTGGGACAAAGCAGTATGCTGCAACCAAGCTTTAACAAAGCATTGGGTACTTATAGAAAGTGGCATTTTATTTCCCATATGGCCACTAATCCTTTTTGTTCATGGCTCCCCAGTTGAGGAAGAGTATAAATGCCCACCCTGATAACCCTAATAAACTCCTCCTGTTCTTTAGCATTCAGTTCAAGCACTGGCTGTTCTGGAAAGCCTGTCTTTATTACCTCACCCAAATTCTATTAGGTTTCTTTTCTCTACGTTTTCATTTATCCTTACATAGAACTCATATGACTTTTCATATCCATATTCTGGTTTGATACTTTCTCCCAATAGTCAATGAACCTCTTTAGAACAGGGAAAACAAAGGTCTTCCATTTAAAGTGTTGACATACGGCAGGGTCATATCTTGCATACATTACAAATTTTAAGGATATATGAGTGTGTATGTACACAACATCCTCCACACCAAACAACAGGCTTCCAACAACAATAGCCAAAACCTAGATACAGATTTTAAACATATCCCAAATCTAGAAGTTAGGATACAAAGAGTGTAACTTGAGGTGAATAGAAAACTGATATTTATTTAATAAAGAAATAATATATTGATGTCATGTAACAAAGGTTTTGCTAATTAATGAACATTTTGAACTTGAAAGGTAGAAAAATAATTAAATAGTAATAGGTTTGATATTCTGAAGTATCAGTTTTAAAGCCTCTATCATAAACTAGTATTAATGTGGCCAAAAAGCAATACTGAAACCTTGGTACTATTATTCAATATATGAAATTTAATGTATATAGATATCCTGGTAAAATGAACAATAATTATACAGGAGTCACAAATGTAAGTATTTACTTATATACCTTCATTGTCAGTATTGAGTTTGGCTTCCAGTTCTGTAATCTTGTGTCTTAGTTCAAATATTGAGAGTTGCACTGCATCCCTGTTATTTAAAATGTTTTTGTTGATTATAATTCAATTAAAAATAACATCAGAAAAATAATACATAGTAACCCACTACTACTTCAGGAACAATTTACTATGACACATCATTTACTGAAGGACTGGTTAAGAAACAAGACCCAGGTAAAGGAAGGCTTCCAATTAGTTCTAGGACTCAGATATGCACTAAAGCTCAAAGACCCCCAGGCAACCACTGGAAATCCTTTATTTATTTATTTGTTTATGAGACAAAGTCTCACTCTGTCGCCCAGGTTGGAGTGCAGTGGTGCAATCTCGGCTCACTGCAACCTCCGCCTCCCGGGTTCAAGCAATTCTCCTGCCTCAGCCTCCTGAGTAGCTGGGATTACAGGCATGCGCCACCAAGCCTGGCTAATTTTTTTTGTATTTTTAGTAGAGACGGGGTTTTACCATACTGACCAGACTGGTCTTGAACTCCTGATCTTGTGATTCGCCCAGCCTCGGCCTCTCAAAGTGCTGGGATTACAGGCATGAGCCAGCACGCCCCGCCCTCGGAAATCCTTTAACTTAAATATCATCCCAAAGAAGTTAGCTATCTGGTTTTTCAGAACCAAGCAAATTAGGCACTGCACATTATTACAGAAAGGCATACCTAGGGCAATACATAATAGCTGACAAACTGAAACAAAGGGAATAAAAGAAACACTAATTTAAAAGGTTAGCTATTTAGGACATCAGTAAATAGAACATTATCATATGACAGGACCATTTATTCAATAAATAGTTTTGAGTGCTATTATGTTCAAGGCATTGTATTAAACAAGGAAGAATTCAGTGAACAGTGAACAGAAAAATAGCAATAGCGGCAGCAAAGTTCCACTGGATGCGTATTATAAGCCAATGCTAAGTGCTTTATAGTGCATTTCATTCCAACCTGGGAACAACTGCAGGAGTATGATGATGACTATTTGTATACCTGTCTTAGAGTGGAGAAAACTGAGGATTAAAGAGGTTAATTAACTTGTCTAAGATTGCATAATTACTGAGTGCCAGATGGGGTTTGCATTCATTCAGGACTCTCCTCAAGTACTTGCTCTTATTCTCTACTTCCTCAGAATACACAGAATCTGTCCTCAGAATGCGTGTAGTCTGGTAGCAAGAAATACACAAGCAATTAAAAAAACTGTGACTGGAGCTACAATAGAGGAAAACCCAGAACGCTATCTAAGCACAAAGGAGAGTCCAATTCTCACGGGACTTGTGGATGGAGTTGGGAGTATGTCCAAAAAATAAATGTTTCAAAAATTTAACACGAAGTACGAATACTGTTTTTAAAAAGCATAAAGGAGGAGTAACAGTTTTACTAAATGCCATTTTATGAAGTTCCCCCTAAAGGGATGAAAGAAAAAAAAAAACCCGCATAACTAAATAAAATCTTTGGAATTTTAAACAAAAAATCTGGATTTATGGAGACAACAAAACCAAACACAACTTTTGGCATTACAGTATATAGGCAAAATACACGCCATATGATTGGATCCTAAGGGCAGAACATCCTACCTCGAAAGCTGCCTACTTACAATACCAAAGGCTTAGTCAAAGAGGCACATGAATCTTTCGCTTGGAACACTTGGGCAGGTCGACCGAAGTGCCCAGGGGTTAATCCCGGGGCCGGTCTCCCAGCATCCTCAGCGGCTTCGGCCCTGAGACGCCGCAGGTGAAGGCTCGGGGGGCGTGGACCAGACTTCACACCGCGCCGCCCCCCGACTCACTTCTTGCGGATTTCTTCCAGCAACTGCTGTTTCAGGCGGTTGGTACTCACACCGTCGAAACTGTAGCTTCTCTCTTCCTCCATAGTGTCAGGCTAGAGACCTCCCGCGTCTTTCCCCTCAGCACACCTTAGAACACAAGACATTAAAGGCCACCCAGAAGCGAGCAAGGAGAGTATGGCACGAGGCGGGGCACCCGAACCGCCTCCTGGTCCCACCTCCCGCGCGTGCCTGCAGAGGCACGTGGTGACGTCATAAAGCGATGCCCGCAGGCGGCAGGGGGCGGGGCGAGGGCAGCCGGGGAGACTGGAAGAGAAACCTGCTCTGTCCGGTGGAGCGACCCTGGAGAACAGCTCGAGGGACACTCCTTGCTCAAGACTCTGGGGTTAGATTGTTCGACTACACAGAGGAGTGTCAGGAGGCCGAGAATATCCCTCACCTTTTTCTTCCCTCCTGCTGGTTGCTTTCCTAAACATAGACCTGGGTGGCAAAGTCGGCTTCACTCTTAGCCCTTGTTAGGAAAATGCTGGATCCAAGAGTAGCTGTGCCCTTCTTTGCTTCAGTTGAACAAGCACCAGAGTCGCTGATTTGGCAGTGTTGGAGCGAGAGGAACTGGCCTTAAAAAGGTACCTCCTGAACTCGGGACGACTGCTAACCCTCTAGATTATTGTTTTGCATCTGTGTGTCGTTCATGAACATACCTCAGAGCTGCTCACTGCAACTTGAAATTTCATTTTATATATATATATATATAGTCATGCGCCTCCATGTGAAGAGACCACCAAACAGGCTTTGTGTGAGCAACATGGCTGTTTATTTCACCTGGGTGCAGGCGGGCTGAGTCCGAAAAAGGAGTCAGCCAAGGGAGATAAGGGTGGGGCCGTTTAATATGATTTGGATAGGTCAAGGAAAATTACAGTCAAAGGCAGGTTGTTCTCTGGCGGGTAGGAGTGGGAGTCACAAGGTGTTCAGTGGGGGAGCTTTTTGAGCCAAGATGAGCCAGGAAAAGGAATTTCGCAAGATAATGTCATCGCTTAAGGCAATGACTGGCCATTTTCACTTCTTTTGTGGTAGAATGTCAACAGTTAAGGCGGGGCAGGGCATTTTCCCTTCTTTTGTGGTTCTTTAGTTACTTCAGGCCATCTGGGCGTATAAGTGTAAGTCACAGGGGATGCGGACATGCAAGTCACAGGCGTATATGTGCAGGTCACAGGGGATGCGATAGCTTGGCTTGGGCTCAGAGGCCTGACATACATTTCTTTTTTTTTTTTTTTTGAGACGGAGTCTCGCTCTGTCTCCCAGGCTGGAGTGCAGTGACACGATCTCGGCTCACTGCAAGCTCCGCCTGGCCGGTTCACGCCATTCTCCTGCCTCAGCCTCCCGAGTAGCCGGGACTACAGGCGCCCGCCACCACGCCCGGCTTTTTTGTATTTTTAGTAGAGACAGGGTTTCACCGTGTTAGCCAGGATGGTCTCGATCTCCTAACCTTGTGATCCGCCCGCCTCGGCCGCCCAAAGTGCTGGGATTACAGGCGTGAGCCACTGCGCCCGGCCTCATTATATTTGTAATCACAAAGTTTACCTCCTACCCTTGATACATCTGTGTTTCCTTGACAAAAAGAGACAAACTGTAAAATATTTGGAGATTTATTCTAAGCCAAATGAGTGACCAATGGCTGGTGACAGCTCTCAGGAGATCCTAAGAACACGTGCCCAAGGTGGTCAGGGTACAGCTTAGTTTTATGCATTTTAGGGAGACATGGGACATCAATCAAATACATGTTAAGATATACACTAGTTCCATCCGGAAAGGCAGGGCAATTGGAAGGGGTGGGGAAAGGCAGGGCAATTGGGAGGGATGGGGGACGGGGGGCGGGGTGGGGGGGGTGGGGGGGGTGGGGCTTCCAGGTCACAGCTAGATTCAAAGATTTCCTGATTGGCAATTGGTTGAAAAGTTATTTACTAAAGACTTAGGAATGTCTTTAGAAAATAAAGGGGTTGTGGAGACCAAGGTTTTAGTGAGAATGGGATAATTGATTGGTGTGGAAAACACAATTTGGTGTCAGACGTGTTGTGAATACATAAATAGTTTTCCAATTGAGTTTCTGGATGAGATTAACATTTCAACTGGGAGACTGAGTATAGTACATTGTCTTCTCCACTGTGAGTGGGCCTCAGCCAATCGACTGAAGACGGAATAGAACAAAAAGGCTGACCTCCCAGGAGTAACAGGGAGCTCCTACAGCCAAACAGCTTGAGTTGGAACACTTTTCCAGCCTTGGGCTCAGACTGGGACTACACATCAGTTTGCCTGCCTCTCCAGCTTGTCAACTGCAGATCCTGAGATTTCTCAGCCTTCATAATTGTATGGGCAAATTCCTTATAATAAATCTTTTATACACACACTCCCTATTAGTTCTGTTTCTGTGAATTACCCTAATATAGGAGGTATGCTTATCAAAATTTTGTCTAGCTGTAAGTCTGAAAGGGCAACTCACAACCAAGTAAACAGAATAGAATGAAGTGAAAAGGACTAGATTATCTGTTGACAAATCCAAATGTACAGAGGATTTCTTTTTTGAGATGGAGTCTCACTCTGTCTCCCAGGCTGGAGTGCAATGGCACAATCTCAGCTTACTGCAACCTCCGCCTCCCGTGTTAAAGCGATTCTCCTGCCTCAGCCTCCCAAAGTAGCTGGGACTACAGGCACGCACCACCATGCCCAGCTAAATTTTTTTGTGTATTTTTAGTAGAGACGGGTTTCACCATATTGCGCAGACTGGTCTTGAACTCCTGACCTCGTGATCCACCCGCTTCTGCCTCCCAAAGGGCTGGGATTACAGGCATGAGCCACTGCACCCGGCCGAGGATTTCTTAAAAAGATCTGTTAGCAGAATCTCACTGTGGGAAATTAAGATCAAAGGCAAGCAGAAAACAGGTTTGTGTTTCTGGCAGAAATAAAGCAAATGAATTTACCTCCTGCCTGAAACAACTAAAAAACTAAGAGGAACAAAAAAAGAAACAATGGTTTTCAAGACATTGAACATCAGGCAATAAGGGACAATGATCTCTTGATGAGACACAAATGAGGCAAGCTCCCAAATTGGCCTGGGCCTGCCAGGGTACAAAGCAGAAAAGGAGAAAACAGGCAGAGGCTGGTGGTTGCCCTAAGTTGAGGAACCGGAGTTTCTCTAAGAGTCTAGGGAGAACAAGGCAGCTAGACTTTGCAGGGCAGATATTGGAGGGAAGAGCTGCGCACAGTGTTCCCAGGCCAAACTGAGGGTTGGGCTGCTATTTCTTGTGACCCAGTAACAAGATGTAGATGAACCGGGGAGGAAGAGTTTTTATTTCTGGAACCAGTTACAGGGAGAAGGCCTGGAAATGATCACCAGACCAACTCAAAATTACAAAATTTTCCAGAGCTTATAATACCTTCTAAGCTATATGTCTATGTGTAAGTGTGCATTCATCTAAAGACATAAGTGGTTAACTTCTTATAATCTACAACTAAGGTCTTGAGTCCTGAAGACCTTCCTCTGCAGCCTCAGTAAATTCACTTCATCTAAATGGGTCCAGGTGTTAGGGTGATTACCCTTGTCTCCTGCTAAATCAGGGAGGTTTTGTGATTCTTTCAAGAACCCCAATAAACTTGTTTAATCCTAAATGGGTCCAGCTAAGAATTCCTTCATTTTTTTTTTGTCATGCTTTAAGGCCCAGTAAAGGCCTGGGCAAAATTCTTGGTGGGCTTTTGTTACATTCCAGCCTTTGTATAAGGGCCTTGGCTTTTTTATCTTTTAGCATTTAACTTAGCCACTCACTCAGTACTGAAACAGTTGTTATGGGGGCCTGTGCTGAGACCTGGCCGGCCACAGGGTACACGCTGCAGCAGGGTCCTGATGAATGCACACACATGGTGGGGCAAGTACTCAGGCTGGGGAAAGAACCATCACAAAGGATTAGTAGGGAAATCCTTACAGTTTACAGAGGTAGGAATAATACCTGCTACCATCCACCAGAATGGAAAACCTCTGGATTCACAGGGCATCAGGTACACAGAAGATTTTGCTTTAGGAGTGGAAAAAAACACTAGCCCTAACAAGTTTAAAAGAAAGATCCAAAAGTATCCAACTGGTTCTAAGTAACTTAATCCCCTCCCAAGACAAAGCTCAAGAATATTTACAGGAACACAAAACATCCAGTACCCAATAAGGTAAAATTCACAATGTCCAACAATATCTTTGGTCTCGTTATGTTGCCGAGGCTGGTCTCGAACTCCTGGACTCGAGAGATCCACCCAACCTTAGCCTCCGTTGGGATTACAGGTGTGCGCCTCTGCACCCAATGTAACATTGTTTTCTTAAGGTATGTTAGAACTCACCTGTAAGTCCATCTGGGCTGATGTTTCTTTGTGGGACGATTTGAAACTCCTTATGGAACTATCAGCCAAAATACCCTTAAAGAATTTCGTCTAGGGAACTGAGCCTCTTGCCCTAACAATCAGTAGGACTTACTAATTTATAATGACAACAGTGTGGGACTGGCCCAGGAAAAAAAGAAATGACAGATGGAACAAACGTCTCTGAGCCCAGAAACACTCATACTTGATATATAGAGAAAGACCTGTGGGAAATTACTGAAGAAAAGAACTATTCAATAAACGGGGGTTAAATAACTGATTATCCACGGGGCGGGGGAGGAGGGGAGGAATTAGATACCTTACATCTTGCACACATACACACAAATCTCAGTAAACACCTAAACATGAAAAGCAAAATTGTCAGCAGTGACAACAGGCAAATTTTACAGTAGAGGGAAATGAATGGCAAATGAACATGAAAAATTCCTGATCTAACGTCAGGAAAGGAGGTCAGGAAAACACAAGTTAAAATTATGAGATACTTTTTTATATATGCTACATTAACAATAAAAACATTGCAAAGGGAAGTACTACTCAAGAGAATATCATCATTTTGGAAAATACCTAGCATTATTTTGCAAAATTGACAAGCCAACAACTCCCCTCTTACGTACAAAGTCTCTTGCATATGTGTACCAGGGGACAGTCAAGTATTTTTTGAGTGTACTGTTTCTACCAACAAAAACTAAAAACAAATGTCAACTGATAGGAAAATGAACACTTGATGTGGTATACTCAAACAGAATACTACAGAGCTACTAAACCATCCATGCATATAAGCACAAGAATTAATTTTAAACATAAACTCAAAAAAGCGAGTAAGACTTCACATTCAGACACTATATGTAGAAAGCTTCAAAAAATGAAACAGTATGTTTGGAGAATATACATGTGTGAATAAAAAAGGGCAAGGAATAAAAAATGACGTGGGGAAAGAGGTAAGAAAATAGGAAGAACGTACATATACGTAATTGGCAGCTTTCCGTGTCTTTAGTTAGGTGTGATGAGTTTTTAAGTATTAATTCTGTTACTCATCATACCTTACATGTAATATACAATTTTATCTATATATCAATTATTACAAAATATAAAAAAATCTTTAGAAGATGCCTATCTCCTAATGATTCAATGAATGGTGGAAAAAGTCCATTTTCTAGAGTCTAAGACAGCACACTTTTTCTGCAAAGGGCTAGAGAGTGTGAATAAGTTAGGCTTGAAAACATGTTGCCATCTGGATTTAGCCCATGGAGGATATTTGCTGACCTCTGGTCAAAGCTAACTATTTAAAGTTTACATTCCATTATTTGCCATTCCATTTCTTTTTAAAATTTTTTTAATTTTTAATTTTTATGGGTACGTGGTAGGTGTATATATGCATGGGATACATGAGATATTTTGATACAGGTATATCATTCATAATAATTACATCAGGGTGTATCTACTGCTTCAAGCATTCATTTGTGTTACAAACGTCCCAATTACACTCTTTTATTTTTAAATGTATAAAAAGTTATTGCTGACTGTAGTCACCCTGTTAGGCTACCAAACACTAGAACTAATTCGTTCTAACTAACTGTATTTTCATACCCATTAATCAACCTCACTTCCCTTCCTATCCCTTCAATGCCTCCCAGCCTCTGGTAACCATCATTCTACTCTATCTCCATAAGTTCGATTATTGTAATTTTTAGCTCCCACAAATAAGAATATATGAAGTGCCATTCTATTTCTTAAACTTAAAGCATAGACTATAAGCTATTTACCAATTCACTTTTATTTCCATTTTATCAACTAGTACATTATCCTTGGTCTTAGGAAAAGCCTACATCAGTTCCATGTGTTCCCAAAATATAAGCCCATGTGATAATGAGGTCAGGCAATTCAGAGTTTTTTAATTCATAAAGTGCATTCTTCAGACAGCTTCAAATAATGTCTAAGTAGCCACTAGAAGATCAGAAATTATTAGAATGGACTACAGCTATGAAAACTAACACCAATCTCTTAAATTCAGTAAACAAAAATAAAATACCATTAGGTATTTAGTTACATAGTTTTTTAGCCCATGTAAGTAAATAGGTCTGTGAATAGTCTGCCTCCTGCCAAAGTGGAAACCATAATGCCTATCCACCATGGATTACGCCTAAGGTTTTCATATTCTTTACCTTGATTATGAACGAACCTTTCCTTTTTAATAACTTGTCTTTTAATATAAATTCCAATGACCGAATCCCAGAATAAAAATGTTTACCATTAGTAAACTCAATTCTGTTTATATATATATATTTTTTTTTTTACAAGTTTTAACCTTTTGGAAAAACAGAAGCAGATATGATTAAATAATTTCTTGAAGTACTTTTTTAATCCAATTAAGCTGATAATAATCACTTTGAATTTTAATACAAAACAATCATGTTCCCAAATGTCCTAGGCTCATAAGAGAACAATCGGTCTCAATACAAAAGATGTAATAATCTATTTTTATTCATTTTAAATCAAAAAGACCATTCCATTTCCTAACAAACAGGTAAGTTACAAAAGTAGTCCATTTTACTTTTCATCAGTCTTTCCGTTTTGAACAAGTCTTTTTGAGAATTCTTAGTTTAGGATTAGGTTTAGCTTACACACTGAAAATTTTGAGAAGCATCTAAAAAAATCCACACTTAGTGCAAAAAGAGGAGACAATACTTTAAGCCTTCTATAAAAAGAATTAAGGTTACTAAATGCCAATTTTTAAGCAAATATATAGTTTCCTAATTTGCTTTCTGAAATATAGCACATATAAAAATAGTTCAACATTAGGTTTAATAAGGTCTAAATAGCACATTATTAGCTTTATTTTACCTGCAAAAATATTTCAGCTACACTTGGAAAAAATAAACTTGAGAATATTACTTCACATTTCTAAGGCCAGATGCAAGAATACTTATTCTTTTCCTTTTAAATAGAAGACATGCCATAAAATTTATGAAAGTTAATTTGTAGGAATGAATACATTTAAAAAATACTGGTTAATCTGTGAGGAATTCCACATTTGCTTACATAACAAAATTTCATCCATTTCATAAGGCTTTGGTATAGGTGATTCCCAGCACTCCATCATTTATCTTTCTTCTTTGCCTCCTTTACTTCCTTCGTCTGCTCATCCTTCTCCCCTCTCACGTTGACATTTGCTGCTCCTTCTTGATTTTCCCTCTGAGAATTATCAACTATCTGATAGTCCTCAAGGAGAGTGTGTCCTGTTTGTGTTGCAGTTTTCTTCACCATTGCTTTGATACCAATGTTGTTAATATTGTAGGCAGTTACGCCAACATTGACTGCAGAATCCACCGCATTGTGGGTAGCTTCTCCTGCATTATACCCGTATCTTTAAAAGAAAGATTAGAGAACATACAATGATATGATAAATATAAAATAAGGTCTCCTGAATTAGTATTAAATAAGTCAAATGATTACTGTGTTACCCCTGAAAGCAAAATTAAAGCTTAGGTTTCAATTTAATTAACAACTTAAAACACAGTAGAGGATGAAATCACACTGTGACAAAGCTGTATTTTCTCCTTTAGTAAAAACAGTATGTGAAGATAAACTCAGACTAGCTGAGAATGATGTAATAAAGACCCTCAAGTAAAAATAAAGTGTAAATTATAATATAGGTCATTAATCAGTCATTTTTTATTAATCCTCCCTTTCTGGAAATATGAAGAAAAATATTCACAGAAGCAACTAATCTAGAGTCATATAAGTGGTTTCAAGTTCTACCTTAACCAGACTTTGGCTACGTCTTTTAATTATGGGAATTTGAGTTTGTCTTTAAACAGCGATTCTATGGCATTCTCCCCTGCATCCCACCCTACTGCACACTCACTGGCCTCCTTGCTGTTCCTTCAGCCCACCAAGCACTCACAGGCCTTAGGACCTTTGTACTGGCTGCTCTCTGCGTGGACTTCCCATAGTTCTCTGCCCCACCTTCTACAAGTTGGCTCAACTATAATCTTCTCATTATCTAATCTGTTTAAATTGCCTTTTCCCACATGCCCACCTCCACCTCTTGACAATTGATTCCCCTTTTAACTACTTTTTCTTCTCCCATAACTTACCACTTTCTACATACTATAGAACTTACTCATTATCACTGTTCATGTCTTGCTTGTCTCACTAAAATATAAACTCTATTGGAGAGGAGATTCTTAGCTTTGTCCTTTAACATATCCTAAATATTGAGAATAGTGCCTGATACTCAATGAATATTCACTAAATGAATGAAATCAGTAATTCCTGCCCTATCTGCCTCAGAGTTTCTTGAGCATCAGATGCATAGCAAGTGCCTGGGAAATTATAAAGCATGTACAAAAGTAGTTATTATTGATAATAATATCTGCATTTAATGCTATTTCTATGATAAAATACAATTTGAGGTCCTATACGAGCATACCAAAACACATTTCCCTCGTGTTTAATTGTTTTACTCTTTACCCCATTTTGGTAACAGGCTTTTAAAGCTTTTCTTGTCCACAGGTTTCCCCAAATAGAGGACTGTTTAAACAACAAATAACAACAAAAAGGCAAAAGTTTACATTTTCTCCAGGACACAGTGAAGTTTCCTAGGTGCTTTATGACCTATAGCTGGACATCTTACATAACACTAGATCTGCCTTTTGAATTAACAAGTTCTCTATTACTAAATAGCGTGGCCTAGAATAGTGGTTTGTGATCCCACCGGCTTGTCTGTGCTTGGCTTTTTTAACCCCAGTGTGAAATAATCTTACAGTGCCTCTGAATGATGATTCTATTCTGTCCTTTGCCTAATGTTAGTAATTATATTAGAGCTAGCACACGGCAGAGCCTAGTCTGTCAAACCTTCCAAGTCTGTACTACTCTTAATCAGGGCCCTTCTCACCAGTCAACAGACAGAAAAGCTTCCTACAACTGCTTCGGCCAGTCCCTGTTATGCAACCCTTCAGCATTCCACAGGATTTGCTGATGGTGCAGAAGATGCACTATTGCTGATGGTGCCTTCTCATTGTCAGCCAAGCCCCAGTCACAAATACTACTGTCAGGTGGTAATGGCTGTGTCTACACAAAAAGAAAAAGGTATCAGCAGTTTCTGCACTGAAAAACAGGGACCATAACTCTTGGTGGAGCCGGTTTCCCCGAGGGCTTACGGAACATTCAGAAAACTAGATTCTAATGCCAACCATGCCAGTAATTAGCCACACGACCTTGGTCAAGTTTCTACCTCTTTGCATATTGTCAACTTTCTCTTCTTTATTTGAAAAAAATGAGGTATATGTGTGAAAGCAGTTTTAAAATTCTAAAATACTAAACATATATTTTGAAATATCCTATAAAATGGCTTTTCATCAGTTGTATTTATTTTTTAATATACCCTCAACTATCACTCCTGCTTTCCAATATGCCTTAGAACTAGTTTTCCTAACAGGAATCTATTCTTCTCTTCATAAATAACTGTTTAGTCCTTTTCTTCAGATTCAAACTATACTGCTATAAACTCCTATAAAGCATATGTCTGGCAGAAAGTTAAATTTATTTTTGATCTCTTATTTTTAAACAAATTTACTTTAATTAGAGCTCATTAAGTTGGATTTTATATACTAACACTACCAATTGAAAAATAATAAAAAATGAATACAAAGTAGGCCCTAAATAAGTCAATGAGATTCAAAACTACAACTGAACCAGATTTTTCTGAAATTTCTCCAATGTGTTCAGTTATACAGAACTGGTTTTGGGTAATATGACACCTGTCATTGAAGTTACCCCTTCATCCAGTGCAAATTTAGGGGGAATTTTAATTAAATTTCACTAAACAAACCAATAAACCAGCTACACTTATAGCATAGTACAAAAAACCATAAAACAGTAAATTTTCCACAGGAATAAAAGTCTATTATTAAGCTTATATTCCACAAATATACATTCAAAGAAAATATTGCTGGGGAAAATAAAAATAGATCTATCAAAGCTATATTATTATTCTTTAAACACTTCAAAGTGGAATAAAAGAAGCTTAAAGGTGAAACTTAAGCTTCATATGTAGAAGAGAGATGAATTATTGAATAGGTACTATACCGCAATTAAGTGTAGCAGGTTTAAAGTTACTGTTTTTCATTATTCCTGTATGTCTTCACATCTCCAAATATAAGACAAAAGTTTATTTAACTGACAAAAATAAACTGAATCTTAATGAATAGTTTCTATGCATTTACCTAAAAATTTTAAGAGTATAGTTATTTAATCCTCTGTACTGGCTTATCCACCTGAAATCAGATAAGGAAGTTTATATAATACATTTGGTTTTCTCTCAAGCATAAAATTAAGGGACATTTAAAATAACTACTTTGGAGAACAATCGCTTATCATAGGCAATTAAGAACACAAATTTTCCTTATTATACTACCATCAGTTTGATTCGAGTACTCCACAAATGGTCATTCTATGAAATACTTTTTGATAGTAAATTTAAATACAGGACAGTGTAAATAAACCTAAGTGTATGTAAACAAATAAGAACAAAATTAAATAAAGGTACAACAAGTTTTTCCATTTCTTCAGTTCTATCACTAAGTTATTACTGGTTCAATACTTTTAGTTTCTTCTCTTAAAAGACGTTTTCTACTTTGGGCCAGATTAGCTCCAAAGGTGAGAAACAGTATTACTTAGACAAAATCTTTTATTCCCTACTGCCTCTCCCCTCTTTCTAAATTTCTAATAGCAGAAACTAAATTACTGCTAAGACTGAATCATCCTCATAGTTAGAAATACAAAGCTACTTAACTAAATTCTCACTTATCTGCTTTTTATTTAAATTCCATGAATCTTTGGAAAAAAGGATAAAAAGAATAGCAATAATACAATAATAGAAGTAAAAGAGCTGAGAATCACTGTTAAAAATATGCTATTCAACATATTAAGTTCTCATTAAGGACCAGAAGTGCAAAATCTACATTAAAATCCAGTATTTCCTAGTTATGTGAATCTCAAACTTTTAATAAGTTAATTGTAGTTAGGTAAGTATTTTTTTTGTCATTAGAGTAGGCCATGAAACAAACCCAACAAAGCACTTCCTATTTTCTAATATGATAATCTAAAAATAATTCACTTTTGGCCTAAAAGGCATTTCTGAATTTCACCTGTTCTTGTTACAAATAAAGAACTATTTTTCTAATTATGACTGATCCAAAGTAACCTCAGGGTCATAAAATAATGACTGAATATTAAGAGTTCAGTGCCACAGGTGATAAGAAGTGAGTTGGAAGACTTGAGTTTTATATTTCTATCGGAAGAATTTGAGATCTATTGTATGTTTTATCTCTCAACTCTTTTGGTAAAACTGACACTCCGGCCAGGCACGGTGGCTCACGCCTGTAATCCCAGCACTTTGGGAGGCTGAGGTGGGCGGATCACAAAATCAGCAGATGGAGACCATCCTGGCTAACACGGTGAAACCCCGTCTCTACTAAAAATACAAAAAATTAGCCGGGCGTGGTGGCAGGTGCCTGTAGTCCCAGCTACTCGGGAGGCTGAGGCAGGAGAATGGCATGAACCTGGGAGGCGGAGCTTGCAGTGAGCCAAGATCACGCCACTGCACTCCAGCCTGGGTGACACAGCAAGACTCCGTCTCCAAAAAAAAACAAAAAACAAAAAAAACTGACACTCCAAAATGATATGCCATGTTGCTTTGATTTGATTCAAAGATATGTATCCCCTAGAATGTAAACTAGTTCAGCCACTTTTGGGAGATTTCTCAAAAAACTTAAAATGGAATTACCATTTGATACCCAAAAGAAAATAAATTATTCTATCAAAAAGACACATGCACTCACATGTTCACTGCAGCACTATTCACAACAGCAAAGACATGGAATCAACCTAAGTGCCCCTCAACGGTGGACTGCATAAAGAAAACATGGTACATATACACCATGGAATACTACACAGCCCTAAAAATGAATGAAATCATACCCTTTGCAGCAACATGGATGCAGCTGGAGGCCATTATTCTAAATGAATTAATGTAGGAACAGAAAACCGCATGTTCTCACTTATAAATAGGAAATAAACACTGGGTACTCATGGACATAAAGATGACAACAACAGACACTGGGGACTACTAGGCGGGGGAGGGAGGGAAGGGAGTGTGAGCTAAAAGACCATCTATTGGGTACTATGCCCACTACCTGGGTAAAGGGATCATTTGTACCCCAAACCTCAGCATCATACAACAAACCTATGTAACAAGCCTGCACTTGTACCCTTTAATCTATAACAATAGTTGAAATTATGAAAAAAAGTAAAAATAAAGCAATTCCTATTTCCTAACTTAAAACAAACAAATGTATACGTGCCCCAGACAGAGCAGATCAAACCAATTAAGGATGGAAATTAAATTAGCACTGTAGAGCACAGGTTCTGATGACAGAAACACTTGGTTTATATCCCAGCTCTACTACTCACTAGCAGAGAAATCTTTAACATGGTATTTCACTTTACATTTTGTTTTCCTCATCTGCAAAATGGAGATAACAGTGTTGAAAAATTAATCAATACGTAGGAAAAGCAATGAACACAGTGCCTGACACAAAAGTATGAACTCAACTAAATGCTGTCAATAAGTGGATAATTAACATAAATAACCAAGAGTTGTGAATACTATTAATATTGCTCTTTTTTCTTTCTAAACAGTAAGATCCAAACTAATTCAAGGCTAAGAAAGCAACTCAGGTCCTTCATACTAGATTTAGTTTTTAGACCTTGATTCTTCTAGTATTGATAAAGAAAGTAGAGTCAGGTAGAAAGAATAAGGAGCTAAAAGCAGAAGACCCTGCTTTAACTCTCACCTTCAATACCACTTGTCATAAATTTGTTATACAGTTGCTGCTTCAGCATTTATTTTTAGGCCTGACATAAGTTGCTTGAAACCTAGTTGTATCCCATCGCCTTTGGCCTAGTTAAAACTTCCCCCTCCCTGTGTGGTTGTCTGCAATACAGTATACTTGTTTCTCATCTCATTGACTCAAAACCCAACATACCCCACAGCTGCTGACCACGAGAAAATCCAATGGTCAACATTAGAGTCATGTAAAACCAGAGTCGTGTAAATGTTCCCCTGTTCACACTTGTTTTCTTTAAACTAGTCAATCCACAGGCCCTACTGGAAAGCCAAAGGAAGAACACCCATGGACTTGCATGAAGGTAGTCACACAAATCGCCTCTCCCTTGCTGCTGCTCCCTGTTCACCCACCCCCCGCCCCACCCACTGGTTGAGCACTCTGCTGTCTTCAGACTTCCTCCTGGCCCTCGTGGGTACCCCTCTTCTCTCAAGGGTCTGTGAGTAATAAAAAGCTTCTGTCGTTTCGTGTGTTTGGTTGTACTGCCTTCTGTGTGTCACGTGACCAACACACCCAAACCTTGCTCTCCTCCTAGTCAGGGTCTCCTAGAGAGTGGCTATCTTAGTAGGAATAAACTGGACACGGGTCAGAAAAGAGTCATAAGGGCATATGCCATAAACAAGTCCCCTGAGAGAGGGATACCTGGTCATGGATGTGCCAGGATAAAGAAGTATCCTGTGAAAGGCACACTGCAAACATCCATGAGCTTTTCCTCTTGAGCCACGACACAGCAGGACTAGAATTTATAGCCACTCTCCAGAGACAGACTGTAAGGCCAAATGAGAAAGCAATCATAACACCAATCAGGTGAGCTTGTGCAAATCATTCATTTCTGTTTGTCCATTTCTTAATATATGAAATTGAAGATACACCATCTACCCATTCCAATACAAATGTACAGTGGTAATCAGAGTCAAGTAAGATGTGACATAATTTTTAACAGTCTGTATACTGAGTGGGCTAATATTAACAGGGGGTATAAGAGTTTAATTATAATTCAAGTTTATTCAGGCAGACATCACCCATCAAAAACAGGTAGTCAGTTAATAAGGTATACAGGAATTCTGGGCTTTTAAAAAAATTAAACTTATTCTTCACAGTAATGATGAACAAATGTTTATAATGATTAGTAATATAAAGCAAAGTGACAAGAATTCTGTTATTATACTAGAAATACTATTCTCCCTATTTAAGAAAAGCAGTGAGTGAAAAAAATTATTTATCAGATACTTAATAAAAATATCTTTACCATCATGGATTTTTGCAAATGCTACAGGAGATTTAGTTGGCCAGGTGTGGTGGCTCATGCCTGTAATCCCAGCACTTTGGGAGGCTGAGGCAGGCAGATCACCTGAGGTCAGGAGTTGAAGACTAGCCTGGCTAATGTGGGGAAACCCTATTTCCACTGGAAAAAAAAAAAAAAACTTAGCCGGGTGTGGTGGCATGTGCCTGTAATCCCAGCTACTTGGGAGGCTGAGACAGAATTGCCTGAACCTGGGAGGTGGAAGTTGCAGTAAGTCGAGATCGCGCCTCCAGCTTGGGCAACAAGAGAAACTCCCTCTCAGAAAAACAACAACAATAACAACAAAACAGAGATTTAGTCATTAAAATAAAATTCAACTTACTTATATCTGACAGTTTGTACAGTTTCTGCTGAAACATTGTTAACAATGCATTTAGCTGCACATTCCAATCCTTGCCAAACAGTTGAAAATCCTGTAAAAATAATATTTAAAAGTATGTAAATCTAGTCCAAAGCAAATAGAGCTTCCTAGTTAAAATTCTGGGCCCCTTTGTTACCTTGAACACTACTTGCTGCTACAACCATGGCACCATCCAGAGGAGATTTCCCATCTTTGTCTTTTTTAAGAGATTCTGGAACTAGTTTGCTTCCATGCTTCTTGACATGTGGAGCTAGTTCTTTTCCAACGCAATTTGCTACAGTGCAAACTCCATCAACTAATATGACCATTAAAAAAAAGAAAACTTAGGAAATACATATTATTCCCTTGATTTTTACCAGTCATCTCGCAACATTCTTAAATGAGCCTCTAAAATTGTTTTACTATATAATGTTACAATTTCTACTTAAGGATATGAAGCTTAGAGAGGAGGTCTCACTATGTTGCCCAGGCTGGCCTTGACTTGTACTCCTGGGCTCAAGTGATCCTCCTGCCTCTGCCTCCTGAGTAGCTGGGACTACAGGTATGCAGCACAGACTGGCTATTTTTTAAATTAAGGTTTTTGTTTGCTTTAAAGCTGTGCTTGCAGAGCCTACTGATGTTTATAACCTTGCCTCTCAGATATACATGTTCTTGCACTTCTGCTTAAGAAAACCAGCCACCTTTTCTATCTGACTGTTGCAATGCAAGATTGGTTGGTACTTCTAGATTATTCCAGCTTAGTGTATTCACATTTTTCTATTGATAAAAATCTCAGTTATCTCCGTGAAATAACAGTAAAATGTTTAATTCTATAAAAGTAAACAATCCAAAATCTGATTCAAAAAATACTAAATACCAAAAAAGATCATTTTGCTAAATTTAATGGTAATCCATTAAGGTTCTATCTACCCATCTCAAAACACCAAATTTCAGTGCTGTGATTCTCTAAAAGCAAGGAGTTACAAGTATATTGCTTGGGAAGGCTGGCGCCAGAATCACTAAGTCAGCTTTTCTCAAACAACAGATCCCTTCCTCTTGACCCTCAACTACTAAGCAGTAAACAGCTCTCCTTGAAAGAATGTGTCATATCCCTTGGAAGGATTCAAGGATTCACACCCAGTCGTGCTGTATAATGATGTTTTGGTCATTTCAGACATTTCAGGGTCCCATAAGATTATAATGGAGCTGATTAAGTCCCACTGCCTAGTAACATCACAGCCACCATAACATCATAGTTCAATTACTTTTTTAAAAAATAAATTTAGTATGGCCCAAGTATACAGTGTTATAAAGTCTGCAATAGTGTATAGCTATGTCCTAGGCCTTCACATTCACTCACCACTCACTCACTGCGTCACTCAGAGCAATTTCCAGTCCTGCAAGTGACATTTCTGGTAAGTGCTCTCTACAGGTTTTATGCCATTTTTTATCTTTTATATACTGCACTCCTACTGTACCTTTTCTATGTTTAGATGTGTTTAAACACACAAATACCATTGTGTTACAATTTCCTGTAGTATTCAGTACAGTCACATGGTGCATAGGTTTGTAGCTTAGGAGCAATAGGCTACATCATATAGCCTATGTGTGGAGTGGCAATAATGTTTAGGTTTGTGTGAGTACATGCTATGATGTTCACACAATCATGGAATCACCTAATGATAGATTTCTTAGAACTTACTCGCCTCGTTAAATAATACATGACTTTACATTCAGAACTCTTTTTCAAAGATACACACATTCTCCTCGTCAACACATCAAAACAACCCTTTAACCAGTTTCTCAAAACTTTAACGTGCAAATAAGAATCACCTAGGGATCTTGTGAAAATGCAGATTCTGAATCAGTAGGTGTGTCTGTGCCTAAAATTCTGCATTTCTAAGGATTCCAGACAGGCCGATGTGATGTTGCTGGTCCGCAGGTCTCACTATGAATAATGAAGAGAAACTGCTTTGTCCTAATTCTTTATTCTTGAGATTAAACCATCTAAATGAACATGCAGATTAACCCTGGATTAAGACATTATTTTGAATATAACTTTAAAGAGGTAAGGTTATCTAGAATTACTTTACCCAGGAACTGACTGACTTTTGCTGCTCCTCCTGTAGCTTGCTTCGCTATATAAAGTCCCTTGGTGACAGCTGGACTAACTTCCACAGGTTTTTCTTCTGGTTGAATCCGCTCTCGGAGTTTAGAAGCACCTTTCTGGATTGCTTTGCCAGTAAACTCAGCACCTTTGATTAAACCCCAACTCACCCAGGAAGCACCTTTTTAAAAGAAAATTTAAAATTGCACAATATTAGGGCTAATTATACTTTTAAACACTTTAATAAATAACATCAACCAGAAAAAAATAAAAGGAGTTTGATATTCAGAAGCTAAATGTGCCATGTCATAAACTTTCAAGCTAACTTTATACCTACAGTTTTCTTCCTGAATACTTAGGTCATATGTCACTCAGTGACAAGAGTTCTGCGTTACTCTATGCTGCCACTGCAACTTGCAGGTATCTCTATATGTTACTTACCACAGTATATTACTGTTAGGTATTAATTTTTAGTTTTGGTGCCATTAACATAGAATTTGGCTAAAGAACCCAGATATTCTTGTTCTTTTTGCCTTAGGCCAGGCACCACGTTTCCCCATGAAATCCTGAGGGAGAAAGACAGAACTATCACAAAATGTAAACCAAAGAAACTGCCTCTCAAACACCAAGGCAGAACTCTTACTTTCTTTAGGTAAAAGCATTAGTCAGGGGGTCCTGTTCCTTCCTGAATCCTAAACCCAAACTCTTGGATCTAAGTACTGTTTAGCTTGCTACATATACCTGAACGACAAAAACATGAGAACACCCAAATGCATGAGAAGAGAAAATCTAAAAGAAGAGAGAGGCCTAGATAATTTAGCCATTTCTCATGACAGTGGGTCCTAGCCCTTTGCTTTGCTTATGTTCTCGCAGCTTGAATGACAGAACTGCTCACCAGAGAAACAGAGGGATGGAAGGGCCTTCTCTAGTGAGGACAAAAGGTCCTCAGCCAGTGGAAATGTGGGGAAAGGAGGAGTGGGAGAGGGACGGGTAAAGAAAAAACACACAAGAACAGTGTCCCCTAAGATGGAAGAAGTATTACCCTACTCTGTAGAGACTTTCAATTTAAAATATTTATTTTTTGGTGAACACTTAACAATGTGCTTTCAAAGTTGAACATATGAAGTACTTAATTATATTCTCTCAACGTCTGTGGTATGGTTTTACATTACTCCAGCCCATGAATAAGCATCCAGCAATCATGTGAAAACCGTAACAGTTTATTTTAAAATGTTAACAATGAAAAGTGACATGTAATAAATAATTAGAAATTTTATGTTTCTCTTCCTGTTTTAGTCAACATCTCCACCTCCAGCTCCAATCCTACCCCCACTGTCCTACCTGACAATCAATTTCTGGGGAAGTGCAGGATTCAAACCCAAGCAAACAGGCTTCCATAAACAATAAAAGGCTTGAAGATGTCCATTTAAAAAAATTATCTTTTTAGATTAACTTATAGGTTGAAAAGTGTTAAGAAGAAACCAGCTGAACATGAACACTGAGAAATCGTAAAATAAATGACAACGAAACGAAGGATACTACAATCCTATAATGAAACTATAAGAAATAATAGGGATGAAGTCAAATGATGACTGAGAAAAATAAATGGAAATGAGATAAAAAGTCACAGCACTAATAAAGAGAAATACTAGATGCAAAAATAACATATCACCATGGAAATATACAGTATACATAAATATGTTAAAACTATGAACACTGCAACAGAAGATAAGGAAATGCAATATTTCATTGGTAGCTATGTAGATATTTTAAATGACATGTACAATGCCAGATATAGATTGATTCTGTTCACGTTTGCATCCTATGCACTGAATTAATGCAGCCACATGACAGACCATGAACGTCTGCTGAATAAATGAGACACTGGCAGATGTTAAAATTATCTAACTCAAACCTAACTACTACAGCTTGTGGGACACTGTCCACTTTTACTGAACTAAAGAAAGCTACCATTTACAGTTGTTATTAAAAACAGAAGTCCCTGGCCAGGTGCAGTGGCTCACGCCTATAATCTCAGCACTTTGGAAGGCCAAGTTGGGCGGATCACCTGAGGTCAGGAGTTTGAAACCAGCCTGGCCAATATGGCGAAACCTTGTCTCTACTAAAAATATAAAAATGAGCTGGGTGTGGTGGTGTGTACGTGTAGTCCCAGCTACTTAGGAAGCTGAGGCAGGAGAATCACTTGAACCCTGGAGGTGGAGTTTGCAGTGAGCCGAGATAGCATCACTGCACTCCAGCTTGGGTAACAGAATGAGACTCTGTCTCAAAACAAAACAAAACAAAACACAAAAACACAGAAGTCCCAAATCACAGCTTTCTCTCCTGGTAAAAAGCTAGCTGAACCCTAAGATTATATAGAACCCAACTTTTCTGGTAAGTTTTAATAATTTTATCATAAGAAATATGAGCTTAAAACACCGATTCACTGATCTTTTTATTTTCAGCTTTTGATATTCTTTATCTCTGGCCATGAGGGGGGAAAACTGGCAGAAAGTTGGCTAGCACATGGCTACTACTGAATTCTCAATCACATGACATGTATCTTATGTTTGATGCAGTCCTCTAAAAACCTAGAAATGATTTGTCTTAGCACTTAACCATCCTATACCAATCAAAGTATAAATTGAATATATGATTGCTCTTTGATGTTTTGTTCATTCTATATAATTTATGCTAGAATAAAGGTCTTTGTGGATCTGACAGCTGGAAGACTGTACTAGGTCAATGGAGTCCCAGAAGGAATCTACTGAAGAATAGGAGGACTTATTTGTCTATTCTTTAACAGACTGAATTAACCAAAATGGAAAAGTTTTTGCCAGGGCCTAGAAGCACAAAATGGTAGCAAAAAGCATAATCTTGGAGAAACTTTAGGGAGGCATCACAGTTGCCTCCGTTCTGCTCACTCTCAGCCCTGGGATGATATGCTGGAATAGGTAGGCAGAAAGTGATCATTCCCTCTCATTCCATGTCAACTGTTTGCCTAGCATTCCAGAGTCCATCTGTAAATTAAATTGGGAAAGATTAGGGAGTTAGAGGGGACATTCAAATACCCTTGATGATCTTTTGCTACCTCACAACCACTAAAGTGTTCCAGAAATAGGTTGCTCCAAAGGTGAGCTCCATCAGTCTATTGTCAGCAACCCTCTGCCTCCTCCCAAATAGTTTACTAGGCTCTACTCCATTGATACTGCACACTCGCTGCCTTCTTAAAGTGTAAGTCTAGGTTTCCCAAGCCCATACAGGTAAACTTTAAGCCCGGTTGTTTTACTTTTTTCACCTTTTATATTAGGAAAACCTTAGACTAGCTTCTAGTGATCTTTACTTATTCTTTGACAGCAGACAAGCACCAATTATGGGCTAAGATGAATAAGCTCAATTTGTATCCCTGGTTACTCATTTTGTACATAGACTGAATGAGTCAGGTAACAATAGTCTCTTGATAGATCAGATAATTTTCCCGGGAGTAAATCTTTATTAATTTTCTGCCCCCTCTTTGTTTTACTTGTACCGTAAGCATTTGATGAACTATTCGTTCTACGTATTAAAAAGCTCATAAAGAGACATAAACTCTGATAGGCAGTTAAATGGTTTACAGTCACCAACTATGAGGGACATTACTAGAACCCCAGACCTGAAGGTATAGAATAAAAAGGAAAAGAGGTACTGGCATGAAGAAACTGAGGTCTTAAGTAATAAAGAAGGCCTCTGCATGTTACCAGAGCACAGTTTTTGCTTGTTTTAAAATTATGCACTGCTGAAAGTTCTTTTGAAATCTCCAGAGAGACCTTTTCCCAGGATTAACCGGCTGTACTGCTTCTGGTAGCACCATGCTGTGGTATCTACAGTACCTAGGAGGCCTGAGATTTAGTGGCAGCTGGTAATTTCTGAAGATGACCACAAACAGTGTCTCCTATTCTGAATGTTAATCCTTCCACAAGATCTTGACATTCTTCCCAGAGGGAAATGGGGTCTATGTCACATTCCTTGCATCTGGGCTGGCTTGTTGCTTGCTTTTAACCAAATGATGCTGGAAATTTCCAAGAGTATGTCAGAAATGGTAAGGCAGCTTCTGTCTGTTTGCTGGATGATTCACATTTGAAGCCCCAAGTCACTACGTAGAAGCCACACTACCCTAAGGCCACCATGCTGGGTGGAAGCCCAGCCACAAAAGGCCATGTGCAGGCACTCTGTTTGGCAGTCCTAGACTTTGACCTCTCCCAGCCTAGATGCCAGAGGTGTCAGTAATGATTCCAGTCTTCAGCTTATTGTCAAGTCACTAGCTAGCCTTTGAGTCTTCCCAGATGAAGTCCTTAGATACTATAAAAGAGATATAAGCCACTCCTGCTGTGACCTTTCCAAATACCTGGCCCACTGAATTCCACAGAAACAAATGTTTGTTGTTTTGTGCCTTTGGGTTTGGGGCAGTTTGTTACATAGCCATAGTAAATGGAACAAACTTATAACAGCATAAATTCCAAAAACTTGGTAAAATGACCTTTGAATTTAGTGTGTGGGGGTAATAGGCAAGTTTTCTGAAAAATGGCCTCCTAATAATAATGCTTAGCAGCCTACAAAGTTGGGGGGTAGGGCAGTAAAAGTGAAAAGGTTTTTCATTGCAATTTCTTTGTGAATCTCTTTCAAGGGTCAATTTTAATGACTGCAATTACAGTTTACAATTTGGCTTTATCTTTTTTCTTGTCTCAAGCATAGTTCTTTGGCACTAGGAAAAGTATTTTAGTTCCTAGCTCGCTAATTATTTTAGCTTGTTGGTTTTTTATGCTGAAGATTTCCTCTGCTTTAGACATCTTCTAAAATGGATTTTAGTGGACATGGAAATCTGAATTGACAGTCGTTTAAATGAGTGAAGACCCATTTAATGGGGTTATGAATTTGACATACTGAATGGTGATTGGCAATATTTTTAAAAGACAAAATAAAAGGTATAAATCAGAGAGTTACTACACCTAAAAAGCTACGTGAAATGTTAACCAATTAAAGTAGAAAGACATGCCACTAATGATCATTCTGGTTTCAGAATAATTGATCTGAAGCCCTTTATAACCGTAATTAAACAGCAGAGACTACTTCTCAAAGAGCTTGGCTATAAACCTCAGATGTTCTCATGTCTGTATGGCTGTGCAGTTAGTGCTGCTTTGCTTCCAAAGATGAACATGTTCTCATGTTTTGGGTGGGTATCTGAGTCCATTTGTGATGCCATAACAAAATACCATAAACTAGTAGCTTATTAACAACAAAAATGTATTTCTCACAATTCTGGAGGCTGGGAAGTACAAGACTAAGGTGCTGGTAGATTTGGTCCCTGGGGAGGGGCCCACTTCCTGGTTCATAGAATGACACCTTCTTACTGCTTCCTCACATAAGGAAAGCGACAAGGCAGCTCTTTGGGATCTCTTTTATAAGGGACTAATCCCACTGATGAGGGCTCCTCTCTCATGATCTAATTGCTTCCCAAAGGCCCCACCTCCTAAAACCATCACCTCAGGGGTTGGGATTTCAATATATGAATTTGGAAGGGACACATTCAGACCACAGCTGAGGGACAGGGGTTGGGGGAGGTTAAGAGGGAGCTTCAAAGGGGAAAGGAAGGTAACTAATTTTAGATTCAGAACTATTAAGAGTTTGAAGATTCCTGAAGCTTTTCACTATCCATTTTCCCAATAATAAAACAGAATAATAGGCCAGGAAGAATTTATACTTGTATGACAATAGCTGATGTTTTAAAAGACTAGTGCCTTCTACATTTATTTCTAAATTGATCATTTAAAACCAAAATACAAAATATTATCTTTCTCAGTATCCCCTAATAAACAATATCTTTATTTGGTTCCAAAGGCTTAATGTCATACAGGGGGAAAAAAAATTAACATTACTGTAATACCTGACAAAATGTTGTGAGCCACTTTCTCACTCCATTCAGGTAATTCTTTTGATTTTTCTTCTGGAACTGGCTCACATGGTACAATGTGACTCAGGTTAACTTCTTCACTTGAAGTATCTTTAGCCTAAACAGTAAAAATGTTTCAAAATGTGAAGAGTTAGTACTAAGAGGGGGAAAACTGTAAGCATTATATAACAAATATGAAGCCAACAAATACTAGATATAATTAATGAAAAATATCTTCAGCCAACCTAGTTACCAGTATGGTCTTATAAAGCACAATACCAGAACTGCCATGAAGTTGAAAACTGTTCTGGTCCATATAAATCTTGACTGGTAAGATTTAAATACCGAAACAAGTTCAATATGGCATTTATCAAATCATTTATATTGACTTTTTTTTTCTGGACTAGACTGATTTCCTTCAAACAGATATCATCCCTAGATATTAGTGTGTACATGGTACTCAGTAAGATTAAAAGAGTTTTGTTAAATGACTCAATCAGTAAGCAAAGATGAATTCATAAACTGGTTTTGACAGAGCAAACAAATGTCTAATTTGAAACAAGAAGGAATATATAAACATAGAATAATCTGCTATTCCATTTAAGAGGAAATGGAGAACATAGAAATATCTGTACTTTGCTAACTGAACAGCTGTTATGAGAGCCTGGGCCAACACCCAAACTCTAAAAGCTAAATGAACTCATTCTAAGAAATAAGACGCAGGCTAACTCAGACCTCATAACATTAATATAATAAAATAACCTGAAAATCAAAGTGGCCAGTAATACAAAGAATGTCACATAAAATATAAAAACAACATTAAACAAAACAACTTCTACATGGGATAAAAGTCACCCATAAGTAAAAATCTAAAGCTTTTCACTGCATATACTTTTTAATATCATTTGATTTTTTTAGAACAAGAAATTAAATTTTAAAACATGAAGGTCTAAATGATATGGAAGAATTTCCAAATACACTGTTAAGTAAAAAAGGAGCTAAACATTATGTTTTACATGCCACCTTTTATGTTAAATATTATGTATGTCCGTGTATGTGTATGTGTATTTAACTATGCATAAAATATATCTAGAAGGACAATAGAAGTTAATAATTATGTGTCTGAGGCCAGGCATGCTGGCTCACACCTGTAAATCCCAGCACATTGGCAGGCCAACGTGGGTGGATCACCTGAGGTCAGGAGTACGAGACTAGCCTGGCCAACATGGTGAAACTGAAACCCCATCTCTACTGAAAACACAAAAATTAACCGGGCATGGCTGCAGGCACCTGTAATCCCAGCTACTCAGGAGGTTGAGACACAAGAATTGCTTGAACCTGGGAGGGGGAGGTTGCAGTGTGCTGAGATCACACCACTGTACTTCAGCCTAAGTGACAGAGTGAGATTCCATCTGCAGGGGATGGGGGAGAGGAGGGAAGATCATGTGTCTGGACAGGGGAGCTAGGCGGTTGGTGGACAGGAATAGGGCCCAGACTTATTTTTCACCATATACTCTTTTGTACCCTTTAACTTTGGTTTCTTTTGATTAACTTTAAAACAACATTTTTTAAGTAAAATGTATTTCTTGGAACCATTTTGGACTCCCAATATCCTCATATAGCTGGTCTAAGATGTTCAACATAAACCACAGTGATACTTTGCACATAAATATAGAATATTCACGTGATATTCATCAATTCCAAAGATAATTATTGAGCATTTACCATGTGGAATACAGCAATGAACAATACTAAACTGCCTGTAATATGACACTCAAGACAATGCTGTTTTATTCATATACTTGCTTATATTACCACTTCTGCTTAGAATCCCCTTAAATTTGCTATTCATACGACCAACCCTTCTTTATCCTTCAAGACTCATCTTAGTCATAATGTCCTGTAGGAGGGGGCTCCTCACTGCTTCCCATACCATTCATCCACCCACACTTATCTGTTAGGCTAGGCTGCATCTTCTGTCTAATAGCCACTTTGGATAGAAATGATCTCTTTGCTAATCTGTCCTTTCCATTAGACAGTAAATTCATTGAGACAAGAAATTTAAACCTTTTCCACTATGTATGCCTAACATTCTAGCACTCAATAAATATTTCCTGAACTCTAATCCAAATTTACCAGTTAAAATATATTACATACTCAGAGCCTATGAAATGAAAGAAGAAACCACTCAATATGTTTTTAAAAATCAAATCTCTGTCCTGTTGCCCATCCATAAAAAAACAGGAAATAAAAATGGCAGAGTGTAAGAAAAAAATAGACAGAAGCATATGTAGCCCCCAAGCTCTTGGTGAATATAGGAAGGCAGAGAATAACACAAAACAAATAAGAAAGTATGTGCATCATTAATGCATTCATAAAAATATTTTGGTCAGGTGTGGTGGCTCATGTCTGTAATGTTGGCTACTTGAGGCGGCTGAGGTGGAAGGATCACATGAGTCCGGGAGGTCAAGGCTGCAGTGAGCCATGTTTGCACCACTGCACTCCAGCCTGGGTGACAAAGCAGGATCTTGTCTCAAAAAAAATAAAATCTCTCAAACAGTTGGGAAAAAAAATCTATCCCCTAAACACAGAGTATCTTTTAAAATAGTTTAAGTAACATATACTTTAAAAGGGAAATGTTACAACTGATTCTAATTGTTTTTGCTGGTGATCACTTTGCTGACTATGCACAAGTTGCTTTGCTTTAGTATATGGGACTATGATCATAAAAATATAAGAAACTGGAGAAAAGTACCATTAGAAGACAACACACACACTTATTATTCTTTTATTTACCCTTTTTCCACGTTTTCCTTTATGACGTACATCCTTATTGCCTTGGTCCAACTGTTTCACATCAGTGCCCGAGGCTTCTTTTAGTTGGTCAGAGGAGGGTCTAGTTCTTCCAGGGATTTGGAATTCATTTTCTTCTTCTGCTCTGTTCCAGTTGGCCTAGAGAATAAAGGTTTAAGCCTAGCCCTAATCAGAATTTTTCTTAGATGACTTTCTGCCAGCTATATTACACCATGCTCAAGTGACATACTTGTTTGAATGTCAGTTTGGCAGTCTATAAGTAACAACTGCTTTTGCTTTTTTCTCTATGCTTCTCTTTTTTCTTATCACCAAACCCCAAATCTCTGAGATCTTTGGTTCATAGCATATGCTTAAGCAAGTTTCAAAAGACAAAGTATAAAAGACAACTTAATAGCAGTTGTTGGCATAAGTTATCTTTGAATCAGATGCAGCTACATTTAAATTTAATGAATAAATTTTAGGTAACATATACAATATACAAGACAAAATGAATTTAAAGGCAATTAACAAAACTCAAGTCCACTTCATTATGCATTATTGGAAGGTTTATTTTTTAATTTTCTGCACAGTATACGCTTTGCTAAATGAATGCTTAAGAGTAAAAACCAGTCAAAATTATAGCTAGTAACTAGCTTATGTTTACAGCTGAAGTTCTGGGACAGTAAAGCAAGCTAAAAATAACATACAACCAAAAAATAAAATTGAAGAGATAAACATACAATCTAAAACTCTGCTTAGTTTTTTTCCTAAAGTCCACTAATACAGGTCCAGTTAACGTAGGGGTGAAGGGAGAAATAATTCCACATTAGGTCTGTGAATACTTAAGAGCATCATTTCACTCAGTCAGTAAACAGTGAAGTGAAGATGAACTGCTTCGTTTGATCATACTCCTGCCTTTGTGAATTCCTCCTCACAAGTACAATGAGGCTACACACTTCTGTATGCTGATCATGTATTTTGTTAAATAATTGCTGTTATGCTAAAGTATTAATTTGCTGACCACCAGGGTAGGTCATTCTCAGGTCAACAGGGGCTGATTTAATATTTTCACACACACACACACACACACACACACACACACCCCTTTGTGGTCTCCTGTTCTCACAATTTGCCGATCCCACCACTTAACACAGTAACTGGTTAAATAATGAATTCCAAATATCTGCTGACTGAAGGAGAGAATAAAAGATTATACTATCATAATGCCCACCTCAGTCCACACCAGATGACTGTCAATATTCATAATCAAAAATACTTTTTCCCTCTTGCTACAACAATATATAAAGAAAGTCTCTCCATAATACTCTATTCAAGTCCCCTGTTACTCTATTTCCACAGGTACACATGTGGGCAGAGGAAACATGCCAAATAAGGAACGTTCCAGGATGATCATATTTTAAATCGTATTTTCTTTTTTTTTTTATTTGGCCTTCATTTACCACAAGAACAAAGAAAATTATCTCAACCAAAGCCTACTTCTTCCTTAGAATGCCAACCATACCCCTTAAAATGTCCAACATAACCTATCTACTAAAGCCAAAATTATCTTCATGTCACCATTTAGACCCATTAGTACACTTTTCCAGCTGAGCAGTAAAACAGTGGTGAAAACAATAGCTAACAATCACAGAGCATTACTACTTGTTCTGATACAAGTGCTTAATGTATTAATTTTTAATTTTCACCACAGCCCAATGAGGTGGACACTGTTATTATCCCCATTTTATAAGTAAATTAAAGTATAGAGAAGATTAGTAACAGCTGAGCTAAACGGCTATTAAGTGGAAGAGCTTGAATTCATATACAGGCAATTCGACTCTAGAGCTCACAATCTTAACCACTATTACAGCAAATTCCAAGCATGTAGCTGTGAACACACAAATGATAAACTGTTAGTCTCCTAACCTTGATCACAGTAGAGGTTATTACAATTTCTCTAAAAGCTGAAGAGCTTACGTTACAGATTTTTTTCACCCTAAAGATAATCACACAAGTTACCTGGAGCCGAAGGTCAGACATTTGCCTTAATAGATCCTCAAAGAGCTCTCTATCATCCTCTGGTAACTCAGAGGACAGGACGACCCCCACAAAGCATCCTGCTGCTTGCAGCATTGTATCAGGAAACATGTAGGCTCCTGCAGTACATTTCAGAACTGGAGATCTATCAGGAACTAGAGGATACAACCAGTCACAAACCTGAAAGGATTCATTAGAAGAAAAAATATATATACATATAAATGAATGAAACTAGATTTTCACTTACGTTTTAATAAAATTGTTATACTAGAAAACAAACACTTCAAAGTTGGAAACATATTTTAAAAGGCTTTATAGAACCACCAACATCAACAAATCCCCAAGAAAATTAATCCTTTGCTAGTCTGATCTTCCTGCAATAAGGACTGTGCTAAATATGCCAAGGCTCCACTAATCATACAATCTTAAAGCTCATGGCCTTAACTAGCCCAGTGTTAACCAATAATGACTCTAACTTTAAATAAATAATAATCAAAGTAAATTAAGGTTTTCTTCATTATTGAAATAGATATTTCTTTTGGGGTACATAAACTATTTTCAGGTATTATTTACTTGAAATACTTACTGAAATAATAGTATTTACTGATTTAATGCTCCTAACAATCCTATGAAATCAGTTACTACTATTGTCATTTTATGTACAAGAAAATTGAGGCACAGAGAGGTCAATTAAGTTGCTCAGAACCAACAACTGAAAAGTGGAGCTTGGATTTTAACACATGTAGTCTGGACCAGAGAAGCTGAACAATTATTTTAATCAGAAACCCAGCACTCACAGGCTGGGCACAGTGGCTCACACCTATAATCCCAACACGCTGTGAGGCCAATGGGGAGCGGGGGGCATCATTTGAGGTCAGGAGTTCAAGACCAGCCTGGCCAATATGGTGAAACCCGTCTCTACTAAAAATACAAAAATTAGCTGGGTGTGCTAGTGCATGCCTGTAATCCTAGCTCCAGCTCCTTAGGAGGCTGAAGCAGGAGAATCACCTGAACCCGGGAGGTGGAAGTTGCAGTGAGCCAAGATTGTGCCATTGCACTCCAGCCTGGGCAACAGAGCAAACCTCTGACTCAAATTAAAAATAAATAAACAAGAAACTCAGCACTCACAACGTGGAATAATTTTTTGTACTAAACCCAAGAGAACCTGACATAGCAGAATAGATTAAGTTAATGTTTATGGATTGTCTATCTATTATGAAATAAAAAGCCAAATAACAAAAGCTCTCCTGCAGTGTCATCTGGGAAGGTCAGCTTGCCAGCACACACACAGCCTTAAGCTCACATCCTGGCTGCCTAATTTATTTCTAATGCAAAACATTATTTGAGTAACCAAAATACAACTGTGCTCAACATCAAAACAGTCTTACCCACAAACTTTTAACATTTGAGTAGTTATATATTTTAATACGTATGAGAAAAAATACACATTTCCCTTAATTTCAGTTATTATTAAGATATAACTGACAAGTGGGACAATTTAGTAAAAATATAAAGCAAGTAATAGTAGTGGTATGGAGTTGACAATAAAGATTGTAAAAGTTATTCTAAAATAAAACTTAGGAAAGGTTTTTTTTTTTTTTTTTTTTTTTTACTATTCCATGGTTTCTTCCAGATTAACTATATCCTGGTCACCTTAATTGAACTGGAATATCACCAAATTGTCTTTAACATACCAACACTTTATAGACCTTTCTTAGGACAGGATATTACAGATGAGTGAGTTCATCCACCATAGGCTGATTTTTCCCAGTTTCATTTTCAGAGGGCAATTTCATGTCCAATTTCTGTAACTATAGATTTCACAAGTTTAAAAAGTATGTGGTATTAAAACTAAAACCAAAAGAAAAATCTTTTTTTGAAGTTCTAGAATTCTGTCTACCTAAAACCAAAAAATCTTAATTTCCTATTTAGACCAATAGTGATTTTAACAGTGATTTTTAAGTATAGGAAACATCTAACTTCTATTTAGTTGGTTTATTATTGTATTTTTTTTGATAAAAACATTCAGAAAACACATATGTTAACTCTTTTAAGGACACTCTGCTACAAACAGCTGAATACAAGCAAATGAGAACCTGTTAAAGAGACTCAAATTAAATTTTGGGAGCAATTTTACTTTTCATTTAGGACAAAAAAATACACATACGAGAAAGATTAAAAACAAAATTAAAAGCACTAAGGACAAATCTGTATTAAAGTACAAGTCATTTCAATGGATGAGTGAATGTAACCATGGTACAGTATTTCTGCCATTCACTACCCCATCTCCAGTTGCTAAGGACCCAAAGATTTTTAAATTCCATTGTTACAGTGCAACACTATTAGTAGAAATTGTTACAGCTTTTATCATCCCCCACCACAAACCCCAACCAATAAGCCTACTCTTTTTAACCTTAAGGCTCCTTCCCTAAAATAATCTACAGGAGTCACAATATTCTTCCTGCCCAGTATCAAATATTTCCTTTCAATAATGCCCTCAAAGTATCTCCCTCACACATCCCTAGTAAGCCTCAAATTGTCTTTAAACAACTTTCAAGTTGACTCCATATAAAAACTACATAAGAATCAACAGAAGAGTATACCAAAAGAGAAAATGATTAGAGATAGCCTATGCTAATACTAAACCACATTATTTGGACTGTGGACAAAACACTTGCTTTGCTTAAAAAGTGATCTTTCTTCAATGCAAACTCCTTTGTAATACTCAACGTATACTGAGTCCTCATTTTAAGAACTCATCTTCCTATACCTACATCCAATCTTTTAAAACGAGATTGTCACTGGACCACTATCTTCAGAATACCTCACTAAATCCACAGCAATGCCCTGACATCAATCTTTATGTAGCACTCTTTACTCTTGGACCAAGTGCATTCTGGTAAATTTCTCTGCTTGGACTGTTGGAATTACATCTTAAATAATCACCACAGACTCTACTTCTAAACCAGGGTCTCTCAACCTTGGCAAAGTTGAGATTTGGGGTAGGATAATTTTTTTTGTTCATGAGGGCTGTCCTGTGTAAATGTGTGGCAGCATCCCTGGCCTCTACCCACTATGCTAGTAGCAATCAACCTCCAGTATGACAACCAAAAATGCCCCCAGACATTGTCAAATTTTCTCTGGGGAGGCAGAATTACTCCTGGTTGAGAACAACGGTTCTGGACCACGTGCCGGGTCTTGCCCAGTTCAGACCCTCGGCTGAGTCTTCACAACATTTGTGAATATTTACAGCTATACATCCACAGGAATTATATAAATCCCTTTTGAAATTAAACTTACTAGGTTTCTTCTTCAGATAAAGAATTAAAAGTTTAAGGATGACCACTCTTCTCAAGTTTTATCATCACAAACTTAATACCAAAATAAAACTATTAATATATCTTTAAAAAAAAAAGACTATAAAACACAAACATTTTTAAGGCTCATAATTTCATGGAATATATTTAAAAACAAAGAATTTGTTGTTATCTTTTTGCACTTATACTGGACACATAAACATTAACAAATAAAAATGATGAAGTCTACATGTTTTTCAAATTATGCTTTCATTTTCCTTTGGCTTACCTGAAGAAACCCGGGAGGACGGTTTAGAACCGTATCAAGAGAATTATCCAAAAACCTCACAATTCGAAGGTACCCAGGATACGAAGGTGCACTAACCTCCCCTGCAGGATTTACAAAAAAAATCTGTACTCCATTTGGTATCAAAATCAATTCATCTGCATCTAGCCCTAAAGTCTCAAGAGGCGGCGGCTGAGAATGATTCCTATAAAACTCTTCTCCAACTGATGAAAACTCCCCAGAATCTGTTCCATAGGATACAGTGTAGTGACCTTCAGCAGCCTGAGGAGTATAAGCAGGAGGAGCTTCTGCTGGACAACTTTGGGATGGTAAAGAGAGAGAAGCAGGCGCAGCAACTGCCCCTGCACTTGGAGTTGAGGTGTTTCCATCTACTTCAGCATGCTGAGGAGCTGAACTAAAAGACTGAGGCTCTGGTAATTTTTCACACATGTCTTTAGGTGGAAATTCTGGATATAACTTGGGCACCTCCTGAAGATCATTCTGTAGAGAAGTGGCAAGACCCTTCTCTAGAATTTCCAGCCTGGTGCGTACATTCTGTAGTGTTTCTTTCATTTTCTGTTGCATTTGTCTAGCAGATTCCCACCCAGGGCCTGTGTGTTCAGACTCTGTTGATGAAATGCTGATCCCTCTGAGCAGGTGTCCTATTCCTTGCTTATAGTAGTTCTTTGCTTCTTCCTTCTGACCTAATTCATCTGTATTCAGACCTTTGTTAACAAACAAAAAGGCCTTCTTATATGCTTCTCTGATGATCTTAATTTCAGCAGGTTCTCCATTTTGTGGCTCTTGCTCCATTTCTGCAAAATTGGAAACATATTATCTTGCTTAGCTATTGTTTACTTATTATCTATATCTCCTACCTGAATATATTTTAAGAGGACAAGTGCCTCGCTTATCTCTGTTTTGTTCACTATTATACTATCCTTTAAGCCTACTATCAGGTCTGTCATAAAGAAAGCACTTAATATGTATTTGATGAATGGATAATGAAAACTCTTGGTCCAAAATGCCTTAATTTTAAAACATAAGAGAATAAATCAGAATGCATCTATTACATAATTTTCTTGTTCCAGTTTCTTATAATAGTTTCCTATCATACATATGATATATATGATATATCATCATACTGGACACATAAACATTAACAAAATGATGTAGTTTACACATGTTTCAAATTATGCTTTCATTTTTCTTTGAAAAATGAATACATTTTTGTATTATGGTTGAAACAAGAATCTCATTCTAAAATTCATTACGATATAAATCCAGATTATATCCAGCCAATAAAAAATGAATTGAATCATACACTGGTGAAAATAGAAATGAGAAAAAAAAATTTGAAAGAAAGTCTGTTACCTGATTTCCACTTAAAGGTGGCAGGTTACCCCACACAGCCCTGTTGCTTCCCCAAATCCCACTAAGATGACTCTAGAAAGATTATGAAAAAGGAATAACCATTTTTTTTTCTTAGTGAGAAAAATACATGAATAGGTACTTCACAGAAGAAAATCTTTAAAAAGCATCTGAAAAGGTATTCAACATACTATTCCCTCAGACAAGTGAAACTAAAATCGAGTGACACCAACTAGACATTTAACAGATGGCTAAAATTTAGACTGATTAGTGCTAAGTGAAGACAAGTGTAACTCTTCTACCTTGATGGTGAAAGCTGAAAAATGATACACCATTTTGGAAAGCTGGTAGTTTCTACTAAAGCTAAACATTCACCCACTCAATGACCCAACAATTCCACTTGCAGGTATATAACCAAGAGAAATGGATGCATGTGCATGCCAAAGACATGTATGGCAATATTCACAGCAACTATATTCACAAAAGGCAAATCCTTAAAACAACCCAAATGTTTACTCATTCATACAATGCAATAATACACAGAAAAAAATTTTAAACCTGATTGCCTGCAACATCAATGAATTTCACCAATTCTTTGAGTAAAAGCCAAATACAGAAGACTTCATATTGAGACCATATACTGTGATTCTATATGAATTAAAGAATGGGAAAAACTTGTCTATGATATGAAATAAATCAAAATAGTGCTTATAGGTAGAGGCTAATGACTTCGCAGGTACAGGAGGGAATCTCATGGCCTTTGGAAATGTTCTCTGTTGATCTGAGTGATGACTACAAGGGTGTACAGTGGTCCCCCCTTATTTACAGTTTCACTTTCTGTGGTTTCGGTTACCTGCAGTCAATCATTGTCTAAAAATATTAAGTGGAAAATAACAGAGATAAATAATTAATAAATTTTAAATTGCACATTCTCAGTATCATGATTAAATCTCTTGTTGTCTCTCTCTGTGCTCCCTGAGGCATGAATCATCTCTTTGTCCAGGGCATCCATGCTGTCTATGCTCCCCTCCCATGATCACTTAGTAGGTGATATGGTTTGGCGATGCCCCAACCCAGATCTCATCTTGAATTGTAATCTCCATAATCCCCAGGTGTCAAGAGAGGGACCCAGTGGGAGATGATTGGATCATGGGGGCAGCTTGCCCCATGCTGGTCTCATGATTGTGAGTTCGCACCATATCTGATGGTTTTATAAGGCAGTTTTTCCAGCTTCTGCTAGCTCTCTCTTTCCTGCCGTCGTGTGAAAAAAGTCTTTGCTTCCCCTTCGCCTTCTGCCATGATTGTAAGTTTCCTGAGGCCTCCCCAGCCACGCAGAACTGTGAGTCAGTTAAACCTCTTTTTTTTATAAAGTACCCAGTCTTGGGCAGTTCTTTACAGCAGTGTGAAAACGGTCTAACACAGTAGCCATCTTGGTTATCAGATCAACCGTTCCAATACTGTGGTGGTTGGATTCAAGTAATTCTTTTTACTTAGTAATGTCCCCAAAGTGCAACAGTAGTGATGCTGGCAATTTGGATATACTGAAGAGAAGCTGTGAAGTGCTTCCTTCAAGTGAAAAGGTTAGTTTTCAACTTAACAAGGAAAAAAATCATATGCTGAGGTTGCTAAGATCTACCATTAAGAACATATTTTCTATTCCTGAAATTGTGAAGGAGTAAAAAGAAATTATGCTAGTTTTGCTGTTGTCCCTCAAACTGCAAAACTTACGGTCAAAGCATGTGATAAGTGTATTAGTTAAGATGGAAATGGCTTAGATATGAACAGAAACATGTTCCAATTGAAAGCAATGGGGTTCCACAGTATCCATGGTTTCAGGCATCCACTAGGGGTCTTGCAACTTATCTCCCTTGGATAAGGGGTGGGGGGGATATACATAAAAACTACTAAACTATAAATTTAAGATCAGGGCACTAGATGCATTTTATGTGATTCCTTAACAAAACAGATAAACAATAAAGCCATAACTCGCAAGGACAAATAGGGACGATGAAGAGTCAACAGTACTTGGTGTCAAAAAAGGAGGCGGACAAGTGAAAACTCCCAAAACACACTTGAGAAAACAGATGCCTTAAACTGTCAGTGGGAAAATCAGAGATGGAGTTGCACTTACATCACATCAAAAACCTCCAAAAGCATAAGAATTGATGGAATTCAATCTTCCAGTGGAAAGGAAGTAGAGGTACAGCTGAAAAAAGAGGACTGGTTGAAAGCCTGTTTACAAATTAGCACCCTCAGATCTTTCCTACACCAAGCACTCAGGACACTGTTTCTGTACAGCCCTGAAAGACTGAGTGCTTTGATCTAGAAGACTGTAAAATAAAGTGTGGATAAGAAACTATCAGGCATGATTAAGGGTAAAAACCAAAAGCAGGCGGATTAAATGAAATGTTACACATTGATTACTGAGACCCACAGCCTTCCTCCCCGCAACTTGGTAATTAGGAGTTCCGGCTTCCAGGTACCCCTCAAGAAAGGAGATTGGAAGTTACCTTCTTGAGGAATCTGATCACCACCAAGAAGAAAGACACAAAGAATAGTGATAGTGAGAGTTCCCTAAGGAAAACTGTCCAAGCAATTCACCGTTCAGAAGCCATAGTTGATAGGTTCTACCCACAGAATCTCAGATCAGCTTTCTAGCGCTTCATTCACTCACACGCACACACTCACACAGACACACACACAGCCCAGGATCACAAAACATGAGGCAAACATCCAGTATAAAAGATAAAAATAACAGCAATGTAAATTTGGTTGAAATGGACAATGTGCAAGAAAAGGAAAACTTACAAAAAAACCCCTATCATTTATATCAACATAAAGAAAAAGAAAATATCACATCCATAAAATAAAAAGTGGGATGCATGCACACTGAAAAAAGGATATTCAAGGGACAAAATGAACTCTGGGAAATTAAATATTTAAAAAGCAGAAAGGAAAAACTCAAGAAGGATGAGATCATACAATTATAGAAAATGCCCAGAAAGCAGAGCAAAAAGACAGAGATGAAAAATAGGCAAGAATAAATAAGAAAATTAGGACCCAGTCTACAAAGCATGTCATTTGAATAATAAAACTTCTAGAAATACGGGAGGCTGAGGCGGGCGGATCACCTGAGGTCAGTAGCTGGAGACCAGCCTGACCAATATGGTGAAACCCCGTCTCAAATACAAAAGCATTAGCCGGGCATCATGGCCTGCACCTATAGTCCCAGCTACTCAGGAGGCTGAGACAGAAGAATTGCTTGAACCCAGGAGGTGGAGGTTGCAGTGAGCCGAGATCGCACCACTGCACTCCAGCCTGTTGGACAGAGCGTGACTCCATCAAAAACAAAAAACAAAAAACAAGAAAAAACAAACAAAAAAAACTCCTAGAAATAGAGAATAGAGAAAAAAATAAGGGATGAAAGAATTAAACAAATAATTCATAGAATTTCCTAGAATTGGAAACATGAATTTCCTGATTTAAAACGACCAAAAGGTTGGGGGCAGTGGCTGACACCTATAATCCCAGCACTTTAGGAGGCTGAGACAGGCGGATTGCTTGAGTCCAGGAGTTTGAGATCAGCCTGGGCAACATAGTGAGACCATCTCTACAAAGAAAACATTAAAAAATTAGCCAGATGTGCTGGTGTGTGCCTGTAGTCCCAGCTACTCAGGAATTGAGGCAGGAGGATCACTTGAGCGCAGGAATTCAAGGCTGCAGTGAGCTATGATCACACCACTGCACTCCAACCTGGGTTGAAAGAGCAAGACCTCGTCCCTAACAAACAAAAGTAAATAAAAAAACCAATGGTCAAAAAATAAGGAAAAAAAGGGGACACCGAGGTAGGCGAATCACAAGGTCAGGAGATCGAGACCATCCTGGCTAACAAGGTGAAACCTTGTTTCTACTAAAAAAAAAAAAAAAAATTAGCCAGACGTGGTGGTGGGGGTCTGCAGTCCCAGCTACTTGGGAGGCTGAGACAGGAGAATTGCTTGAACCCGGGAGGTGGAGCTTGCAGTGCGCAGAGATCATGCCACTGCACTCCAGCCTGGGCAACAGAGCAAGACTCTGTCTCAAAATAAATAAATAAATAAATAAATAAATAAGAAAAAAATATTTAACACCAACAAACATACCATGACATTTTAGAACACTAGGCTCAAAAGGATCATCTTTAAAACGCTTATACAAAAAAAAAAAAAAACAAAACAAAAAAAAGAGAGACATAAAAGTGCTAAGGAACTTAGGAACTTCTTAAAGGCAACAAAACAGAAGAAGGAAATTATATATTTAATTCATAATTCTGAGTAAAAATAGCTTCTAAACCCAGCCAAGTGACTGCTCAGTTATTACATCCTCTGTTTGCTGGTATGTTTTATGAAAGGAATCCCAAGACTGATGATGAGCTTCCAAGCTAACAATCAGGCAAACATTCCAGGGTGGAGTAGGAGACAACAGAAAAGAATGTTTTAAGAAAGTAAAACTGATAGAATACTTAATGTGATCGCAAGCTCTGAAAAAAGATCTACACAACCGTGAGAGTATTCAGGGTTTCATTAGTACTAATTAAAAACTGAGGATTAACTCTAGGGAAAACGATGTTGAGCAAGAAATAAAAAGTAATCATAATGTACTAAATGTTTCAGTTTTCATTGGTGTCATAATATATACAATGAATCTCAATATAAACAAAATTATGGTACAATCATATTGAAAAGATGGGAAGATGGATGGATAAAAAGTTTACGTGCATGTGACAAAGGATGAAAGACATAAAACTTCATCTTTCTCACTGAGAAGTTAATGGACAATGCCTAAAACTGAAAAAGTACCAATACATTCGCACTGTTTAGAGTACAAAAAGACCAAAAGAATTGGGTGAGAAAAACGATACAAGCTGACTTTGGGAGGAAGGGGTAAGATTTTTCTTAAATCTATGTGTATGACAGAAAATTTAATTACTATTACATTAAAAAAAGTAAATGGAAGCTTTAGAGTAACTATATCGAACAGAACTGTAATGCAAGCCACATATGTAATTTTTAATTTTCTAATAACCACATTAAAAAGGT